TAGATGTTTAAAAAGTAGCTCACTTAACATTATTAATTCACTAAGTATCTGATGTTAATTACTAAAGAATCATCTTAGAAAATGAGCAATGATGGCCGAAATAAATTATTGGGATTTGGGGGTGATCAGAAAAAAATATATCCAACAGAAAATACGCAGAGCTCTAAATAATGACAGATGCATGAAAAAAAATGCAACAAAGGTTGTTGATTTAAAAAAATGATTAAAATAACGTTAGATAATTTAATAATTATTTTAAGTTAATTATAAAGCGGGAAAAACGGTCTCCTAACGCAAACATATTGGATTTAAAGCGAAAAAAGTGATGCCACTAAACAATTTTTTTTAACATCTGCCCTATTGCCAATCTTTGTGAAATTTCCCACACTTATATAAAAATTACCGCAGAATTCAAAAATACACCACACATTGCGGTAATCTGGCTAATTAAGAAGATACTTGAGAAATTACTTACCGTTAATAGATTTAAAGCGAAAACAGTGATGCCACTAAACAATTGTTTTAAACATCTGCGCTATTGCCAATCTTTGTGAAATTTCCCACACTTGTATGAAAATTAACGCAGAATTCAAAAATACAACACACATTGCGGTAATCTGGCTAATTAAGAAGATATTTATGAAATTACTTACCGTTAATTCACTGCGTGCTGCCCAAAAAAATCGATTTATTTTATACGCGTCAAAACCATCTCAGGTCAAAGCCTGGCATCTCTCCAATAACTCCCAATAACTGTTCCGATTTTATCTTTCACGTAAAGAGCACAGAAAAATAATTTCTCAATAACAGAAATTCGTTTTGCATTTTCGGGTCGCAGTCGCGTCTATAGTTACCGACGAAAATGTATTGCAAAATAAACGAAACAAAACGACCCATTGCTATACCTAATTATAGTTTTAAAAAATCCAGTTAAAGTAACGTTAATCTCAGTAAATAGAGTAGGTCACTTCTTATTTACAGGTTTTTTGGACTGGTCGACTTTCCTGAAGGTTACAAATGGATCCTGCTCTGTTATTTGCTTTCTGTGGTGTCTTGCATTTAGGTTTTTATTCCGAGAAAGAGAATGCCTTTGACATAGGTTGCAGCACTCGCTAGGGGGATTGTGTTAGGGCCAGTTGCTCCATGTTTTTGGAGCTTTAACAGCGCTGGCGAACTGAAATATACAACACGCGAAACGGTATCACAGAACACCCCAATAAACTTGTCTAAAGCTGCGGGGCTCCGAAAATACCAATCAGAAGTAACCTAAAGGGTACGTGGGCGGGGCGTGGGGAGATCAACGTTACTTTTATCAGAAAATCCAGCTAGTAGACAGCGTTAAGTTGTAGATTCATTCACACAATGTCCTGCTGTGCTGCTATGTGTCACATAGGGCTCGCAGTTTATTCCTTCACTCTGTTTTATCCAGTGCCATTCCTTCGATATCATTGATGGAATTTAGTTCAGCGGCCTCAGTCTCCCTCCTCAACGTTCGTTTCAGGGTTTCTTTTGGACAGCGAAATCTCCAACCCTTATACAGGATAAAATCCGAGTCATTCGCTTGTGATCACTTGGCTCTTAACATTCAGTCAGACGCTTCCAAGGAATACCGATTAACTGCGAGTCCTTGACAGGACGTGTAGAACGAATCACATTATGTTTGGCTGTTTGTGATTTGACTAGGCAACTTTAGGCTCAGTTGCTTGCTATTGTTTTTCTTTTTTTTTTAAAGAGCGGTCGGCTCCCATTATCGAAAACAACGTAAGGTGGTCTGCTGTCAAATCGTCTACAGTCGGAATCGAACCGTGCACCTCGGCATTGACAATAGCGTACAACAGAGTAAGTACATCGTATACAACAGTTACAGTTGGCACCCATTAGTTATGAAGTAACGTGTTAGAGGCTTTGATGGATTCTAGTGACAGCGTAGTTTTCTAAACTTGAGACGTGATGATCAAATTGATGATGACGATAATAATATGATGATGGTGTTGGTAGTGGTTGTCATCGTCGTGGTGGTAGTGGTAATTATGAATCTGAGAAGGAGGTGAGGATTAAGACAGAGCGGTATTGAAAGAACCAACTAGGACAGACAACAACGAGTTCAAGTACCAAATAGAAGTGACACACGGGAAAGCCAGATTTTCTATGCGTTGTGGTTACATGTAAGAAAAAAACGAAGGAAGTGAAAGGTAGTGACACGAAACATAGGATTACTGTAAAGGGTTTGGCTGGTTGTTAGAATCAGGGAAACTCCTAGGTTGCAAGGCATGAAGTCAGCGTGAGAGAGTGAGAACTCGTAAATATGTGAATGGACTTAGGAACACGGAATAAATGGGGGGATAGCCGAGTAGAGATTCATTATGCAGGTTGGCCCCAGAGTTGGAAAGTATGAAAGTTGACCGTCTGTATAGAAAATTGACCGTCTGCATGAAAAGTTGACCGTCTGTATGGAAAGTTGACTGTCTGAATGGAAAGTTGATCGTCTGTATGGAAAGCTGACAGTCTGTATGGAAAGTTTATCCTATGTATGGAAAGTTGACTGTCTGTATGGAAAGTTGACCGTCTGTATGGAACGTTGATCATATGTATGGACAGTTGCTCGTCTGCATAGAAATCTGCGCTGAATGAAACCAGAGAGAAAGTATCCTTCTGAGTTCTGAATGTGGTCGTGTACATGTCAACGATGGACATTGATGGTTGGGCCGTATGAAGTGCGGATAAGTGGAACCTGGATGTGTGAAGTAAGTGTCATGCTGTCGATTTTCGCTAGGTAGTTTTTCTTACACCGGAGAACAGGCTTACGTAGCACAAGTAGTGTCATCAGTAAACGTGAAACTGTTAGCAACCGATGTTGACTGGTATATGAAGGAGTTAAGGGAGCTGACTGGAAAGACCTTCTGTCTTGTCCTCTCTCTGAACACTAGACAACGAATTACAACAAGATAAACATAACACACATTGTGGTGGTAAAAAGTGAAATAATGGACCTCAGTTTAAATAAATCAAAGACAGAAGTAATGGTGGTATCAAAGAAAAGAATTATTCCTAAATGTGCGATAAAAGTCAATGGTAATATCTTGGGACAAGTACAGAAATTTAAGAATTTAGGCACATAGATAACTCAGATGTAAGATGCATAGCTGAGATAAGAAACAGAATAGGGCAGGCAAAAACTGCATTTTATGAAATAAAGAACATCTCATGCAATATATTTCTTTCATTTCTTCTTCTTCTACTCTTCCACCTTGTACCTCATTGAAGTGTCGGGGGGAGATGTAATGTTCGTTGATGAGCTCTGTCAAGAGTACTATTAGGACTGATGTTCATTTCTGTAAGGCTGTTCTTAATGCCATCACTCCATATTTTCTGAGGTCTTCCACTAGCTCTATACCCGTTGTAACGTTTTAGTGTGGCTCGCTGTGGCGGATAGTACCAAGGCATTCTTGTTAGGTGTCCAAAACACTTTATTTATTGTTCTTCGATGACCTGTAAGACTGGCTTTATTCCTAGCATTCGTCTGATTTCATGATTTTGTATTTTGTCTTTCCGTCAAACTCCTGCAGCTCTTCTAAGGCATTTCATCTCTGTTGTCACAATTTTACGTTCATTGGAGGATGTAAGTGTCCAGGTTTGGCATTGATAGCATAGTGTTGGCCAAAAAATAGTTCTGATAATATTCAATTTTGTACTCTGAGGTATCTGCTTGTGTGTCAACAGGGGAGATAGTTGACACAATACTTGATTAGCTTTGGCGCATCTGGAGCTAATTTCTCAATCCAGTTTTTCGTCTGATGTAAAAATTGCTCCCAAATACTCAAATTCATCTGTTTGTCTAAGGGTGTTGTTTTTTAATTTAATTTCTAAATTGTCTTCATGTCTTCCTATCATCATTGCCTCTGTCTTCGTAGTGTGTATTTTCATATTATATTCCTCCCCTTTGTTACTAATTTGTTTTAGGTGGTTCTGTAGGCATTCCGTATTTTCTGCTATGAGTACCTGGTCGTCGGCGAAAAGCAATTCTGTTATATCTTCTTCCTGATTAAAATTTGTTTCGCTACATATGGTGTCCATGTATGTTATAAAAAGAAGCGGCGATAGTACACAGCCCTGACGCACACCAGAGTTCACTGCAAAAGTTCTTGACAACCCTGCCTTCGATCTTATGCAGCATTTACTACGTGTGTACATGCTTTTGCAAATATTAATGAGATGATTGCTGATTCCCTTTTTTCCCCATACATTCCCACAACATATTCCTGTCGACTCTATCGAAGGCTTTTTTTGGGACTATGAATGTCAACAAACATGTCTTATCATGTTATAATTTCTGTCATTGAAGGTTGGAAATATAATTCTTGCGTGCTACATACACCCAGTTTTAACATACGACCGTGAGTGCTGGACAATCGGTAGGCAGGCCAAACAATTTCATGATGCCTCAGAGATGTGGTTTTACAGAAGAATGCATAGAATACCCTGGATTGTCGAAAAAAGCCACCAGTAGGTTTTGAAAGAGGCGGGAGCCCAAAGACAGCTTGTCACAGACATCAAAATTAGACAGTCATGATTTTTCGTCTATGTTATGAGAAGAGGAAAAATAGAACATGCTGTGACCACTGGAAAGATCTTTGGATCTTCGCATTTTCAGAATCTCTTGAGAGAGCCTGGATACAAGTGACTTACACCATCATGAGCTCGGCATAGAACAAACTGTGGACTGAATGTGTAGCAGTCTAAAACTTTGCGGGCGTTGAGGCTGTCGGATGCTGTTATAACAGTGTATCTAAGTAAAGTATGAATTAGTGTGTGCTGATATAGAGGAAGACAAAGAGAAAAGACTCTTGACAGTCTTGTTGCATAGCTTGACGGTGTGCCAGCACACGACCTAATACATGCTGCAGAAGATCGCAGACTGTGGAGAGATATGATCGCCCACGTCAGTCGGCAAGGCAGCTGATGATGATGATGAAACATTACACGATAGACTATATGGTTACCGAAATATCCCAATGAAAGCTAACACAGCTGTAGCTAAGTATGTCCCATTGCCGTAATCTGTGATCTTGGTTGGAAGCAAGGAATCCGCTGATGATACATCTGTAAACCACGCCCGAACATCGTCTCCACCCTTAGTTTTCAAATTTCCTTCTGCATCTCTTATTGTTATCAGCAACGCCACTGTGTCTCCGATGAAAAAATTGGAGCTTAAGAAGACATAAACAAAAAAGAAAATATAACAGAGAACATAAGTAGATGAAAGCTTTACATTAATTACAAATCAGTTCACATGCACCATCATGGCTAAACAAAAGTGTTGTTTCACTTTACGAGGCAGTCTAAACTCATCGTCAGTCAGCAGCGCCTTTGCTCTCTTCACAGCTCGCCTGAAAAGTCTCTCTTCCTCTGTCAAGTTCTCCAGCCTTATGAGCATTTATTGCCATTGCATCTTCAATGGCTTGTATCTAATTTCGCGGAGGTCGGCGCTCTCCGCTTTCTGTAAATTGTAACCCCCCCCCCCCCCCACCGTTATATCCCCACCATGGGTTCTGCCAGGGGCTCTAAATATAGCCGCGGGCCTTAAATATAGTCTTACTTTTAAACGGGGTTTACGAGACCTCTCAAGAGGTGATCCTCATCTGCATGGTGGCATTTTGTGTCACCGGGTGTCTCTCGCTTGTGTGATGTCCTGTTGGGGTAAAACTTTCCTTCCTACCGTTATATCCTGGCTTGGTAAACAAATAGAATAATTTGATTATTACTAACTTCCATTCCCTAACACAGCTGGTCTTTTCAAGCTGACGGACCTAAAAGAATTCTTTCAAGTGTGCTTCGAAGTAACCTTCTCAGACACAGAATTAACACCTATTATTCTGCGTCAACATCCTCGGCATCTCTTGAGAGAGCCTAGGTACAAGTGACTTACACGATCATGAGCTCGGCATAGAACAAACTGTGGACTGACTGTGTAGCAGTCTAAAATTTTGCGGGCGTTGAGGCAATCGGTTGCTGTGATATTCGTGTATCTAAGTAAAGTATGAATTAGTATGTGCTAATATAGAGACGCCGATGTACCACAGGAAAGAACTTGCAGTGAAAGAACTGGAACAGCTTAAGGAACAGCAGCTCGATCATTCCTATATCTCTGTCTATGCAACTTGTTGACCTACTTCCGTTCACCTTTCTAACCTACCCAGCTCGACCTCTCAACATCTGGTCACTAGTTTCGCATTGATTCTCCCATGTCACGTTTATATGATTAGCACTGTACCGGCTTCGTGACCGACTTGCATAATGACGCTTCCGTTTTAACGCACAACAATAATCTGTTAGAATTATTGCTTATGGGAGAAATGGTTTCATGCTTTAGAACACCTTTCAAGAATGAATTAAATTCGAGAACCGAGGTCCGTGTGAATATCCATAGACGTTTTGCGGCTGATGACACCGGTATATTGTTAATTCGTTTTTCTTGTCTGATATTTTACGTAACATTCGTATCTGGCCTTACCCCCTTTTTTTTACTTGCTGCTCTTGCAGTCTGGTCAAGTTTGTAGACTTATAGTGATCTCTTGATTCGTGTAATCATCTCATTTCATGTATGGTATTCAGTATATCCGCCTCTTATCTAACATGTCATAAACGACTGGACGACTAAAATCGAAACAGTAACAGACCAAATAAACTGCCATTCTTATTATCATCCCTTTTATTGATATGCCAAGTACTTCAGCAAAGCGTTTGGGCTGGACGTAGGAATTTGTGTGGGCTTTGTAACGTGTCGGCTCTGTGGCTAAGTCGATGCGAACGCTTCGTAATGCCGGGATGCCGGGTTCAATCCCAGCTGTGGGCTATGCGCCTTGCGTTGGTTTCGACAGTGGTATCAAGAAAGTCGACCGTCCAGAAAAACAATGGCAAACTACTGGACGTAACATTGCCTAGAAAAACCACACAACAGCCAGGGGCTGTTGAGGTTGGTTCTGCAACGTCCTGTAAAAGATACGCAACTAACCTTTCTAACGTGCTTTAAAAAAAGGATTTAGATTTTCCCCTGAAGTTATTATTAAAGTAGTCTTTCATTCTGCTGTGTGATCTTTCCTTTGATTTTATTCATTTTGTTTCCCTAACTTGACTGACTGTAGCCACTTGTTTCATTGCGTTCTCCTCAGATGGCCGAACAAAGCAATTCACCAAGAACAACAATGCAGTTACAGTAAGTAAAGTAGATAAAGGACCCTTTTCCACGTCTTTAGGTGTTTAGGGCATATATGGCTAGACCTATATTTTATAAACCAATCGGCACAAGATGGGTGATGTGGTCAGCATCACGCTGGCCGCCTTTACTTCCCGGGGCTGCACCCGATACCCATTCATGGCTGGGTCGACCTGGGAGCCAAGGTCATTTTTGAAAAAAGTCCGGCTCTGCCAGGGAGCGAACCCACAACTTTTCGATCCGCGGCGAGCGTCTAGACGCTCCGCCACGGCGACTTACTACAGCTACTGTTAAAGCTTCACATACCTGCTGTTGACAAGAACTACGCTGGACCTCTTTGCTAGGGACGTTTTCAAAATGTCAGTAACAGGTGGGTCCTCCAGGTAAGATGCTTCAAAATCGTACGGAGTTGGCACCGGTGGCGTTTTGATGAAGTCAGGAAATGGAAAAAGCTGACACCTTTGTCAGCAGAAGGGGTCAGAGAATTGAAAACAGATTAAATATAATGTAAATGTCATTTCCAAACAAAGCACTTCCTTTCAAACCTGTAAGATATGTCTTTTTATTTTATCCATTTTCGATGTTGTGCATCAGGGCGTCGCGGGTTAACAGATGATCAGTTTTCCGAGCTAGGGCACCCTCGGTTGACCGGTTTGCTGTGATGTTACGGAGTCTCAAGATATCAGTGACTCCTTGAATCCATCTTCTTCTTGGTTGTCAAAAACTCTTGGTGTTTCTACTTTCAAGCTGTACGCTCTCATCGTTAACATCATTGGATTTATTATCATAAAATTGACTAAAAAGTCAGGCTTTGTTTTTCAATAAATTTATTTATTGGTGCTGTTCAAATAATTCTTGTAATTTCTTCAGGTTTCTTAAAAAAGGTCTCTTCGTTTTGTTTAGGACCTTTCTCAAACATCTAATTTGGCAGATGGTTAGTTTTCTTTCGTGTTGTTTATTCAATGTCCAAGTCTGACACTGACAGCACAAGGTTGGACGAAGCATTTATAAGTTGTCTCTTCATCTCTAATGGAACAGTGGGAGGGGGGATGGGGGGGGGGGGGGGGGGTCTTGATGAGATACATTATTGGCTTCCTGTCAATCTCAGTGTTCGTTTTCCTGTCATGTGTCAAGATGGTTCTCAGATATGTAATTTTTGAACTTGTTTTCCCTAATAAATCATAGACGTTCAACTATCTCTTACAGAGTCATCCTATCCTTTGCTTGCACAGCTCACAACAATTGTCGTACTGTCATCTCTTCCAGTTTTCTGTGTGGTTTTGTCTTCCGTGATGTCTTTGCTACGGTTAGACCAAATGCAATGATTGTCTAGTTATAATTCAATCAGGTTTTCTCAAAACATGACATCGTGGTACTTGTTGTCGGTATCGACATCTCAGCCCATCGCTCCTATCCATTCCTCCTTCGTACTCCAATATAGCAGCCATTTCAGTGTCTCCCTGCTCAAAGTACGCAGTAAAAGATGAGGATTATGTTTATTCTTTCTTTGTCCTGCTTCTGCATGCTTCTTCTTGTTTGATACTTATTTCCAATAGGCAGTTTATTGTCTCTGATGACTTATTCAACACCATCATCTCTACTTTAACTCCCGATTCATTGGAAGTTTTCAGCTCTTTCCCTTAGCTTTTTAGTAAACAATATATCATTCTATTCTGTACATGAGCCAGTAGCTGATTATTTGTTGTTTATAAGTACTGGTTTTCATCGATCTTCATAGTTCTCCCCACACAGCAATGTTGCTATTACTTTTGGTGTTTAAATCCCAGTTTGCACCTAATACTATGAGCCACCTAGTTGTACACCACCATACCCACTGCTCAGCAGCTAACAACCGACACAACAGACCCTGCCAAGACAAGGTCGTTCCCACCCTTCGGCATGGCACATGCTGCTGTTGTTGATGTTGTTTGACCACAAACCACCCCTAGCCGCTAACCGACGCATCACTTTTACATATATTTCTATGTAACAGAAATGCTTTCTATCCCTAGCAACGAAGCCAATCAATACCCCCTTTTCTTCTTTCTATTATATAACTTATATGAGTCTTATGTCATGTCACTCGTTTTATCACCTTTATATATCAAAGCAGTGTTTCCCCGATGTGAATTTAAACAAAGAAGACACAAACAATAGACTGCACAACTGACTGCCTGGCATATTTATCTATATCTCGTCAGGTGCATACTACAGTAACAATTGATTAGAATGAAGCAAAAAGCCGAATCCTAAAAAATGAAACACAAAATTCGAGTAAAGCTGAACTGTCTGTTTCACCAATGTAACCGTAACCTTTATATGTGTCTGCTATATAACATATATACTTTTTCCACCCCCTCCCCGACGCAATGCCAATAAATACTTTTAGTTTTTTTAAACTAAATAACCTAAACCAGCCTCCGGGCTGCCCGGCCCTTGTTACCACCGCTCCTGAAACCCTTGGGTCCTCTGCTCCGCCTGTCCTACCACTCGCAAACACATAGACACAGCCAGCCCAAGGAAGCAGCTGACCCGAGCCTCCTCTGAGACGCCAGTTGACCTTAAACCACCTGAGCCTCCCTAAGACCCCGAAGCATGTGACACAAGCCTCGACCGAGCCGCCATATGACCTAGATAAAACCAACGTTTTTTTTTTTTTTTTGGGGGCAGGAGGGCAATACTTTAAATACAGAGTAAGCCAGGCCGCCTTTGGGGTTGGATTTTGTTCCTAATCTACTACTTACGTTGTTCAGTTGTAGGAATAAATATTCTCAAGAGCTAAATAAACCCTATTCTAATATGCGCAAGTGAATCATAGATGATTAATGAAACATTATTTGGAAGTGGCAGGGTTGTGGTTTTTACAGACAAGTGATAAGAATACGCTGGACAGAAGGAAAAAAAAGTAATGAAGATGTTTTGAAAAAAAAAAAAAAAAAACTGACTCACGAGGAGGATTGATTGTCTACACCAAAAAAAGGCAATGTACAGGCTTTAGTCATGTCTTGAAAAAGAGAAATATGGAGTTTATCGTAAAGGTGAGCAATAAGGAGGGAGCAAGGGACAGGTGGGGACCGAGACTGAGAGAAGATGCTGGACAGTATGACGCCATGGCGTAGAAGATCATCTGTGTCAGAAGTAATTGGAAGTAGATGAGACAGAAGGTGTCAATTGACATGACTACCAGCGCCACACGGCATGGACTACAGAGAAGACTGGATCGTCCTCGAAAAAGTTTCACTGGTTTTCTGGTTTTCTAGAAGTTCTGTTCAAGGAATTAGTGGTAGGGTTGAGTTGAGCCGAGTTAAAGTCAGACATTCCGAATAACGCACCGCCCCACCCTTCAGCAGTCACTGCAGTCACCTCTGATGATACCAACAGCAGTTTGATTTATATGCCCGTCGTGCTCTTCTTTTAAGTTCTGACAGATTCCCTGGTTACTCACAGTAGAACCATTCGCCATTGACAATTTATTCGTGTTGCCATATGGTTCAGCTGCAGCAAACGACTCTTTACCACGCCTTCAGGCTATTGGGCATATAGGGCATATAGGGCTATACCAATAATTATAAGCCAATTGTGGGTAGTATGGACAGCGTCACGTCAGCCACCTTTATTTCCCATGACTTCGTCTGGTACCCATTTTGAGGCTGGGTAGACCTGGGAGAGATTAGTATTTAAAAAAAAAAATGGCTCAGTCAGGATCTGAACCTGCGTCGTTTGTCCATCACGAGTGATGAAGACCACTTTCATCAAAAGTAGTAATGGTCAAGGATTATGAGTACGAAGGTGGCTAATTAGTCCAATATGAGCCAGGAAAGTTATTAAGCAGTGCGGACAACAGATGGAAGCCCTAGTAAGTGTGGGATTAGCAGTACGATTATTTTAAGTCTGCCTCCGTTTCTCTGCCTGTGCAACCTCCGTTGCCTGGCAGGCCGATGCACTATACCCGAGGGACGTACCCTATCCAGAAAGGTCTTATGCAGCAGCCTCCCACGTTGCAGTGTTGATGAGAAAAGAATTGAGAGCAGTCTTCAGAGTGTCCTTACAGCGCTTTTTCTGTCCTCCCTAGGACACCTTTTCCCTTTCTGGAGCTCACCATAAAATACTCTCTTTGGGAGGCGATTTTCTGGCACGCGGGTTAGGTGACCAGCCCAACGCAGCTGACAATTCTTCAGTATCGTGCGGATGCTAGGCAGGTTTTCCCCTTTAGCTTGGTCAGCAGGGAGAAACCACTTCTGTTCTGGTACCCTTTTGAGGCTATGTCCACCAAGGAGAGACGACTATGTTTTTTTAATGGTTATGTTAGTATATGAACCTATGACTTTCAGATCCATAGGCGAGCGGCTAACCACTTTATCAAGATGGCTCCCGGTTAACTTTTTAAAGAATATAAAACGCATCTAGCTTGTCATCCCTTCATTTACTAGCAATCAATACAGAAGCAACAAATGCCTCAGCGAAATTATTCAATGGATCCTACGTACTACGGACCACTAAAGTGATGCTTCAGCCTTTGCACGGATCATACCTATCTAAACAGTTCTGAGCATGATGTGTGAGTCTTTGACAGTTGCATGTGGGTGTATGTGAGTGTGTGTGTGTGTGTATGTTTTGTTAGATCTTAGGACAGCAAAATGCTAAAGTGACTGCCTCTGCCTTATCAAACTAGACGTTAGACAAGTTAGCTTGTCCTTCGATTTTTTTTGTTTTTTTTTTTTGTTGTTGTTGTTGCTGTGATCTTCAGGCACTTGTTCTTCCTGTCAACACTCTGCCATCTATATAGATTACTGGTCTCCAGTTTGGGGAGCGTGCCCTCTCTCCACCACCCCCCCTTCCCCGGCAGGGGGTAGGGGGGTGTTTGGTTGAGTGGGGCGTGAGAAAGTCCGAATGGAGGCATCAAGACATTTTGAAAATGATTTCAATGGTACTCATAAAAATCAATTCAGCTTGATTATAAATAAAATATTTTAACATTATGTATACTTTAAAAAGAAGTTAATTTAAAAAAAAAATATGATAACACAACGCCTTGGGCGCATTGTGCATATGGGAAGAGCACCCCATATATTTACAGACTAATTGGCACTCGGTGGGTAAGGGAGTCAAGATTACACAGGCGGTCTTTACTTCCCTAGGACATACATCCTGGTACCCATTTTAGGCTGGATTGACCTGCAACGCCGCATTCCATGATAAAATTTCATGCAGCCTGCAGTGGATTTCGATCACGGAACGTTGGAATTAAGAGTCGGACTCGAAACGCCCAAGCCACTGTCGCCACTTATAGTTCAGGAAGACATTCTTCTTTTTTATAACATTATGTTATGTTATCAAAATCAAAGTCACTGCACATTGGGCATTCACATGCATGCTCAGTCCTACGATGCTGCAGCCACTCCAATGTACTCCTACTATTTGTTGTCACGGAAGGTTGGCTATAATTTTTTCATATCACT